CCCCAATGTGGTCCACTTATAAAGTGAACAGGAGCATAGAAACAGATGCAGTCTTCTCAAAAAATGTTATTTTATTTTCTCAGCCGGAAACCCCTATTCCAAAGTTTGAAACATCTCTTCCGTATCTCCTTGGAGATACGTCAGGACCTAAATAATTTCTAAGCAAATAAAACAACAGGAGCGAGGAACCTGTTAATGGAACGTTGCCTGCTATCCTGGTTGTTTTACAACTTTCCTGGAAGTTGTCTGTGAATAAGGACATGGAAACCAAGGGGTGTCGTGTCTGCAGAAGGAGACTGCATCTCCTTTCCCACTTTATTTTCTCAGTTGCTCTTTCTCATAGTTTTCTTTGGTATTTGAGTCACCTGTCTCTGTCTTTGTCATCATCTACTATTGTCTCCATCCTGGTCCTGGAAAAATGGGTGACAGGCCATGAAATGTCCTACCAGATGAAACTTGCTAGTAGTCAAGGTGCTGTTAAGATTCTTTTGTTGCCTTTGTTACCTTAGACTAAACACAATCCCACCGCCTCCATCCCCATCTTGGAAGGAATATGGGTTGAAGCTTCCTCTCCACCCTTTGGTAGATGTTACACAGAGATGTGAAACTCAGACAGAAGTAAGAGCCTGTTCAGACTGTGAAATTTGGTACGATCTGGCTCAGGCTGAAAAGGTCCTTTGCTCCAGTGCAATCTATTTTAACAAGCTGAAACCTCTCTCCAAAGAGAGCTATTTTGCCTTTCAATGAATCATCCCCAAAAGAATGCATGCCCTAGTCTCATGCCAGAAATGTACGGGCCAGCTCTTAAAGGGCAAAGGACGGATCATTTTAAGAAGAAACATGATCAGAGCAGGTATTTTTCCCCATGCTTTACAGTGCTGTTGGGAAACTCTATATCATAACTATATGCCATTGTGGGCCGGCTCTCAGAAAAATGAGTTGGAAGGCATTCCCAGGTTTTGCAGGTGCTGTTTGTCCTACATGTGCTTGGAGAAACATTTCTTTGTTGCCAGATAAACCTGTTGGCATTTCTCGTGGCCACAGTCTGTACTTGCATCATCGAGCATGTTCCGATTCTGACGGTTACCTACCTAAAACTATGACAGGGTTGCAGAATAGCCAGAAATGTCAATATCTCCTGTTTTTGGTGGTGGTGGTGGTGGGTCTTGGAAATGTATAAAGCATGCCCAAGGTGGCGTGATGCCTTACAACAGTGGTCCCCAACCTTGGGCCTCCAGATGTTCTTGGACTTCAACTCCCAGAAATCCTGGCCAGCAGAGGTGGTAGTGAAGGCTTCTGGGAACTGCAGTCCAAGAACATCTGGAGGCCCAAGCTTGGGGACCATTGCCTTACGAGACTCTCTTGCTCCTCTAGCCACTTCCTTGTGTCATATAAGTATGTTGCGGTGGTGGGGCCAAAGGTCGCCATCCAACCTCCAAGTAGCTTCTGCAGTTTTCCCTTATCTGTGATCGAAGGTGTCTAAAAGGTGTTCTAAACTGCAACTTAGAACTGGTCTCTGCCTTGCTGCCAGCAGATTCACTGTATGGAATTGGATTGTGTTGGAAAGGGGTCCCCAAGACCCTCCCCTCCCTATCCTGGAATTGGCTGACCTAACTCTTGATTATGACACAAAAAAGTTCTTGAGACTTGGAGGGTTGTTGTCGGCTGTTGCATTCTGGGGGTCTCCCTGTTACATCATGCTGTCGGGCTGGTTCAAACGTGCGTTTTGATTCTCTCTCTCTCTCTTTTTTTTTTTTTGCTTGGCTTTCTCAACCTTCTGTACCTGACAGGTGTGGTGCGCTCGGTCAAGGAAACTCTGAGCAGCCAGTTTGTGGAGAACTGCAAAGGGGTGGTCCAGCGGCTGACCCTGCGTGAGCACAAGATGGTGTGGAACAGAACCACCCACCTCTGGTTGGTATAGTGCCCTCCCTCTGGACCGCTTTTAGGCCACGAGGGTTGTTGAATTCATGGGTTTCACAGAGCCAATAGACTGACAGATTGGGAGACATGGGACACACAAACGCATGCATGCACACACCCCTTAATGGAAGGTTAGGCATGGATCGCCCAGATTCCTGTTTAACAAGAAGTTAAGTTGTATCAGCAGCAGCTGGAATTGTGATCTTGGTTTCCTCTCCTACTGCAGGTCTTCATTTACTTTGCATTATCTTTAATGGTTGCTGCTGTAAATAGATGCTGGGCTTGTTTTGTATATATTTTAGGCTGAAGCAGATACCAACACCAAAAATACATCAATTTGTCTTTTGTTTTTCATTTGTTCCTGCTGTACATTTACTTATTTGAGAGCCCCCATTAGAACAGATCCATGGAATGAATGGTGAGCCTATACTTGTAGGTCCATTGATTCAGCTGGTCTGCTCTAGGTAGAACTGTTCATTAGAATTGGATCCCTGTGTGTAAAAACTGCCCATTGAAAGTTGACAAAAGCCTGTGTCATAATAAAATGTGTTGAAATTTCACAAATTTCCCTTTAAGACAGGTGTGCCTGTCTGTTTACCTGTGACCTTTCAGATATTATGGCCTCAGTGTGTATGACCAAAGATGAGAGATTGTGCAGTTCTCCGTCCCTCAACATCTGTGTGGCCTCAGTTCACACATGCACACATTTTCAAGTAGTTTTTTTTATGTAAGACATTTCTTATCTGCCTTTCTAGACTTCGGACTGAACTTTCCATGCATGGCATAGTGATTTTTAAAAAGGTCACCCAGTCCGCCTCTGCAGGCTTCCAGTTTCTAACATGGTTTGAAAGGGAAAATCGTGGCGGTTGGCCAGAGGGCATAGGACAGCGATGGCGATCCTACGGCACATGTGCCACAGCTGGCACGCAGAGCCCTCTCTGTGGGCCCACGAGTCATAAGTTGCTGGATAGCTACCCCTGGCAGCCAAACCTGAGGAGGCGGCTGCAGCCGTGGCACTCGCGCCCTGAGAGGCCAGGATCCAGAGCAGCTGGCGCTGGTGGTGGCAGACCAGCCGAGCTATAGGCAGTGTCAGGGTTGGGCACAACTGGAGGTGGATCCGGAGTGGGGACTGGAGGCACCTCCATGCCTGGGATTCCTCCTTCCGCTTCTGCTGCCACTCCCTGCTGCCTGCTGGGTTGTTCCTTTTTTTTTTTAACAGTTTGGGCACTCGGGCTCAAAAAGGTTTGCCATCACTTGGCATAGGAGAACAAGGAAATTCCGGCGGTCGTTTTTCACAAAGTATATATGGGGTGGTGTGACTCCTACTCCCCCTCCCAGCCTTGGCTTCTGACCTTGGCAGATGCTTTTCCTGTAGGAACGACCATGAGAAAATCATCCACCAGCGGACCAACACGACCCCGTTCGATCTGGTGCCCCAGGAAGGCGAGGGCGATCGGGCCGTCCGGGTCGTGCGCCCCCTGGAAGCTGCCGAGCTCAGCTTGGAGACGGTGTACGAAAAGTTCCACCCCTCCGTGCAGTCCTTCACAGACGTGATCGGCCATTACATCAGCGGGGAGCGGCCCAAGGGCCTGCGGGAGACGGAGGAGATGCTGAAGGTGGGGACGGTGCTCACTGGGGTCGGGGAGTTGGTCCTCGACAGCAACCACACCATCAAGCTGCAGCCCCCCAAGGAAGGGATGCGCTACTACCTCAGCGGCCTGGATTTTGACTCCTTGCTTCAGAAGCAAGAGTCGAGCGTGAGGCTCTGGCGAATCCTGACCGTCCTTTTCGGCGTGGCCACCTGCGCTGTGCTTGTCTTCCTCCTGTACAAGCAGTACCGCCGGCACCAGGAGAAGCAGCGCCTGCGGGAGATGCAGGAGACAATGATGGCGGGGGGCGACGCGGCCAACCATTGTGTCATCTGCTTGAGCAGCCCCCGGTCTTGCGTGTTTCTGGAGTGTGGACACGTGTGCGCCTGTGACAAGTGCTACCAGGCGCTTCCCAGGCCCCCCCACTGTCCCATGTGCAGGCAAGAAATTGTTCGGGTGGTGCCTTTGTATAACAGCTGAACAGTTGGAAACTGCTTTCAGACACCGTTGTCGCTGCTCAGGAGCGTTCATGGGGGTGCTGTTGCTGTCCTGAGAGGCCCGTAGGGTGGGCTGAGTGACTCCTTTGCGCCCGGAGATGTGGCCAAGCTTCACTCACCGAGATCCACAAATTTTTTTTAATGTCGCTGTGACTTTGGAACAGGATCCTTTGCTCTCGGTTTGGAGAGAAGGACAAAACGAAGCACCTTCTCAACGGCGAATTCGTACCTTCACAGCCGTACGTGTCTGCAACAGACTTTTCTGGGTTTGTTTTGTTTTTCATTTTTGTTTCGCTGTGCAAAAACTAACAGAATCATGGTTTTAGATTCAGCCCTGTGTGTTCTGCCCGGAAAACGTTCAGAGATTCCAGTTCTTGACTGAGAAACGCCAAATGAAGTGCCCCAAATAAAGCAATACTCTGGTGTTGTGTATTTTTAGCCCTCTCAATAGAACTGAGTCCAGAGGAGTTTAAAGGTTTTAGCAAGGAGCTGGCCGAAGGCAAGCAACAGGGGCCTTAGAGGAGAGAGGCTGAGGAGGTGGGTTCTCCCCAAAAGGAGCGACAGGGGACTTCAGGCCATCTGGCACCCCATCCCTCTCACTTCCCCTAGACACACTTCTTTTCTCCATTCTCCAGTGCTTCTCTTCCCAGAGGTGAAAAACATTCTTATCTCCAATCACTTATCTCCGATCCCTTCTGCCTTTGCTCTGCCTTTAAGCTTTTCAAAAGGTATCCTTTGAGGGAGGGCAGAGATGCACTGATGCTGGGGCCTTCCACGAATGAACGAATGAAAGTCCTCCCACCCTAGTGGCAAGTAGCCTTTTAATAAATTGGGCTGCAACTAAGGAGCGTTTTCAAGGAGGACTTGAGCATAAGAGGATGTGTCTCCATATACCCTGTTTCCCTGAAAATAAGCCCTAGTATGGTTTTTTCAGGAGGCTCGTCATATAAGCCCTAAGCCCAAGTTCAGTGAAACCCCTGCCCTCCACCCTTGTGCAGCAACCAGAAGAAGAGGACATGACTGTATTTGAATAAACATAGATTGTAGATGAAAAAAACAAGGCATCCCCTGAAAATAAGCCCTAATTTTTTTTAATTTTTTTTTGGAGCAAAAATTAATATAAGACCCTGCTGTATTTTTGGGGAAGCACAGTATGTATGAGTGACTCCGTGATTTGATATGATGCTATCAAGAGTGTGTTCGTGGTGGGACAGCATGGAAACTATGGGGTGACCCCCAACCCTGATGGCCGACAGTCCCCACTGTGCTGGCCCAGAACTACTTCACCCCTTTGGACTAGCCCATCCCAGAGGATGGCAGAGAGAGTTTTATATACCATTGAAGTAGCCATCCTGTCCTTGAGTGAGCCCTGTGGTGGAAGGGTTAAACTGCAGTACTTCAGTCAAGACTCTGCTCACCACCTGAGTTCGATCCTGATGGGCTCAGGTAATTGGCTTGAGGTTGGCTTGGCCTTCCATCCTTCTGAGGTTGGTAAACTGAGCACCCAGCTCTCAGGGTGCATGTGTTAATGTGCATAGTCTGCATAACTAAGTTGTAAATCACCCCGAGAAAGCTTTAAGTGCCATGGGGTAGTACATATATAAGCGGCACCTTTTGCTTTGCTTCATCCTAGATGCCCTTGAGATACCCGTTCAGCTCTCCTGGCGTTTCTGAGCATTCGCCCAAGCAAAACAGTGCCGTTGCAAAAAGCCGAATTGTAGCTGGGATGGGGAAGCCACGTTTGCTGAGACTCTCGTTTCTGCAAAGGTCAGAAACCTCGACTGGAAGTGAGGAACTGCAGGATTTTAAAATTCCCAGTTGAGCCATCTCTTCTGGAGAGGAGAGACCCCAACCCTTTTGGGCTCTCACCGAGGTCACCTGAATGGATGGATGAGAAGGCAGCATTTGGAGAGGACCGTTTCCATTCCTAGCAGCAGAACCTGTGGCATCAAAAGAAAGTGGATCTTTTAAGCACTTTTTCATAAGTTGAAAGCAAGTTATTTTGGTAGAGTACGTTTTGTGCTGCCACGTCTGAATTTCAGCAGGAACTGGGGGAAGGGAGGGCAGAGTAGCAGCAAAGGGGGTGGCAAGGGGTGCAAAACCAGATGGGGACCACATGCCTTGCTGAAAAGAGAGGTGAATCTGCTTCAGCCACTCAGTCATTAGAACCCTAGAGTAATGGAGCTGGAAGGGGTCTCTGAGACCATCCAGTCCAACCCCCTGCTTAAGGCAAGAATCCAAGTCAAAACAGATCTGACAGGCTTGTCCAATTTTCTCTGGAAGGCCTCCAGCATTGGGAGCACTCACCACCTCGTCCCGAGGCCATGAGTTCCATTGTTGTACTGCTCTAACAGTTAGGATGTTTTTCCTGATTTTCAGCCGAGATCTGGCTTCTCGTAGCTTATGTTCACAGCAGCTGCCATGTACTGTACGTAAAAACATCCACGTAACATCACAATTCCTTATTTTGTGATACTTTTCCCATCTGATCTTCAGAAACATGGGATGAACCAGCAAAGGTGGGCCTAGTTTTGAGGGGTGGTGGGGGTGGTGGAAAGTTGCTATCGAGCTGATGGGGGAGCCCAGGGTTGGCTGTGGCTCAAGCCACCGATCCAGGGCCAGCCGAGAGGGTTGCGCTGTGGTGCTCCTGACTTTTCCGAGAGGCCGTGCGGGCCTCTAGGTGGCGGTGCCTCCCTGCAAGCTGGTCCCAGCACCCCTCAAATCCAGTGTACACCTTTTTGCCCAGTCCGACCAATCTGTGCGTTTCTGGCTTCTCTTTCTCCGACCGGCGATGGGGAGGTGCGGTGCGAAAGAGGGGGCAGCTCGGCAAGCGAGAGCTGTCGCTCAGAGCTATTTCTGTCCTGCCGCTCTTTCACTCCCACGGCGTGTGACACTATTGGACCTACGGATCTGCTTCTGCGGAGGAGGGTGTCTTTTCGGCACCCCCCCCTCCTCTTCCAGCCACCTGCTTGATTCGCAACGTGGCGGTGAAAACCAACCAGGGATGGCAAAAGGCGGAATCTCACATGCGCAGAGGGATGGTTGGTGGGATGGTTCGCATTCCTATCTTGAAGAAGCGATGGGGGAATGGGTTTACTTTGATGCCATGCCACGTTGGCAGGATCTTGCTGTCCTTTCTGTGCCCACAAAGGGTGGAGAATTTCAAGAGGACTAGCAGCATGGCTCTGAAATCCCAGCTGTTGGGGTCAAGACGAGTGGGGAGATGTTAGCCTTGCATCCTTCTGACAGTGGCGGTGGCAACGAGTTCCCCTTGGCCTTAAGAGAGGGTTAGATTCTTGACTGGTCCTTGATGGGATCTGGGTTCAGGGCACTTGCTTGCTTCCGGAGACAGGCCGAACGTTGACGTGGTGGCTGTTAGGAACTTGCGTGAACACAGATTTAAGAAAGTGCCTTCTCCAAATAAATGAATAAATAAATACATTGTAAAAAGCAACAAATGCCGTTTCTTGGCAGGTTGACCTTGCAGCTGAGGGACGAAAGCTTTATTGATTGTCTGGTTTTTATTAAGTTGCATTTATTTTCTGCCAGCGAGGTCATGGTGCTGTGTTGCACCTTCCCCTCCCCGTTTTGTTCTCACAACAACAACCCTGGTCAGACTTCAAGAGATCTGGCTGTCCCGGGGTTACCCTATGTGTGTGTGTGTCATGAACCCAGGGGTGGCTTGAACCTGGACTGTAGACGTTCCAGCTAAATGCTCTAACCACTACACTGCACTGCATCTCAAGCACACACAACCGGCACTTACAACCCAAGCCTTTAGTGTGGGTCTGGTCCACCCGTTGTCCGGGTGGGGTCACCATGCGGTGGGAAAAAGCTTGGAGCCTTGCCAACTTTGGAGGGAGCTCATCCCACTGCCAAACAGCTTCTTACTCTCAAGAAAATCTAATCTTTCCTTCGGGGCTCCGTTCCTGTAATTGGAATCCGTCATTCCAGGTTCTACCCTTCGGAGCAATAGCAAACTAGCATGCTCCCTCTTTCAAGGGAAAGCCCTTCCGATCCTTGAAGAAGGTGTCTCTCGTATCTCTCCTCTGCTTTCTCTTCTCCAAGCCAAACGTACCCATCCTCCTTGCTCGTTTCTCACCGAATTTATTTGTTGGACTTTTTATCCTCTTTGTTGCCCGTTTCTGGATAAAACCGAGCTCGTCCGTATCCTTCCCAAACAGCGGTGCCCGGAACTGGAGACTGTATTCCGTCAGCCATTTGACCAAAGCAGAAGAGAAGGGTATGCTGCCTTCCTCCAAATCTGAACACGATGATCAGGATCCTGTTGCCTGCCCACCTGTGCAGAAGGAAATGAGGTAGGCCATGGTGGCAATTTGCTTGCCACTAGAGATGGCCTTCAACCACTGGTTTGATAGTTTGGCACGGTTCATTTCTCAGCCAGACAGCTGATCTGCGCTTCGGTGACCCACTCCTCCCAGCAGTTCAGCTGTTCAGCCAGGAAACGAACTGCGCCGAACCAGTGGATCGTGCCCATGTCTACTTGCCACTGATGAACGAGGTGTTGGTTGCATTCCTGAACACAACCAGAAGACCTTGAGTTCCTTTTCATAGAATGTACAATGGCTTGGAGAAGAGAAGCCCTTGTCCAAGTTCGTCACTCCATTGCGATCAACTCGGTGCCGGGATTTTATTGCTTCTGCCTCTTGATCTTTGCAACTTTGGTGGAATTCCAAGGTCATGACCTCCCCAAAGCTGTTTTGTATGAAACCAGGAAGAGGACCACACGCTGAAAGACGGGAGAATTCATGCAATGCCTCTCGGAGACTGAACAATGAACTGGAAAAGTCCTGCACCGGACCCAAGGGGAATTTCACCTAAAATGTTCTTCCCCTTTGGTGGTGTGGAGGAATCAAGGAACTCTTCCACCAATAATAGTAGGACTTCCGTATCCGCTGGGGGTCCCCCGCACAGATGCCGAAAAATGTGGATTAGAGCTAACCTTATTTTAGTAATGAACACTGTCCATAGCATGGTCTTGAGTTCCCTCTAGTAAACTTTAGAAATATACCTTTCTAGGATTTTCCTTTTCATATTTTAAATATTTCCAGTCTGTGGATAAGTGAGTCAGCGGATACCGATCCTGCGGATAAGGGGGGGGGAGGTTTCTTACTGTAAACTCGGATGAAAAAAATTGACAAATCATTATTATTTTTTGTAGAATCACAGAATCATGGGGTTGGAAGGAGCCTACAAGGCCACCAGGTCCAACCCTCTGCCTTTTTTTGACCCTCTCTTATCTCATTCTGAGGCTCTTGCTGATGGTTTGTTACCCTCGTTCCTTTTGGTATCTTGAACCATGCGACCCACCGATGTGTTCAAGCCCCTCCAGCTTTCCCTTGAGAAACATCACAGACCTTGGTGAGATTGATTTTCCTATTTAACCAGATTTTTTTTAAAGCAAAATTAAA